TGTGTTCTTCCATGTGGGCTTTGTTTCTTTTGAGCTACATAGCTGCTTGTTTACCTTCAAGCCTTTAAGACCCCAGATGCTATTTCTTTTGATAGCCGGGCACCATCAGCTTTCTTCACCACATTTGCTTATGTACCCTCCACTGACTTTTTCCTTTGCTACTAACATTGCTTATTAAGGTACGAGGACAAAGTGATTGTTAAATGGTCTGATCTTCAAGAATTGATGAAGATCGGTTATTCAGTGAAATGGCCTGCGCTACAAACTAATGATGACCCCCTAAGAAAATAACTTTTTGATTCCAAGAATGAATATGATATGTAATGAAATAGACAAGAAGTTCATTTGGTCCAAGCTACTTTTGTCTTCAGCACAGATGATAAATGATACATTGTTTGGCTGTGAAAAGAGTGTCTTTTGTTTTCCTTCATTTTCTGATTTGAAATAATGCAAGATCATTTTACTTACGTCTGAACTTTGTCAGTGGCCCTTCGGGTGGCCTCCACGGCCTGCTGAAGCTGCAACTCTAGGGTTGCTTGTTGGGCCGCAGCCTCTTGCAGTTGAGTAGCCAGTGCTTCATTTTGTTGCTGAGTGATAGACACAATGTCCTCTCGGTTTCTCAAAGCTTCTTCATACGTGCTGAGAGTATGGTTAAACTGATCCTTCAGATTTTCTTCTTGGGATAAAGATTTGTGCAAACTGTGAAAATACAAACAAACAAATTTAAACAAAATATGGAAGCTGATCAAGCAATGATATCATCTCAATTGTTCTGAAAATGAATTAAATAACCTACTTTTAGATGATTAACTGGCTAAAGAAAATAATTTAATCATAAAATTATCATTGATAATGATCCTTCTTTTAAAAAATCTGTTTGTTTTTTATTTGTTTACACAGCTAGCAACATTCTCATTTACAAATTTCTATGCAGATTTCTCAGTGATCTTGGTTGAGTTTTTTCACAAAGTGCCAGCATACTTGTGATTTCCAGATTTCCATCCTTGTTCTGTTACCATGAATCTAGCTTCTCTGCCCTTGCTTACCTCCTCCTATTTGGCCTAGGTTAATGTTTCCTGTTTGGTTTCTTTAGGATGATTACTTATTAAAGAACCACAGTATCTGTAGGGGGTGCAAAACTCACCACCTATTTGATGCTGACTCACAGTGACCCTATAAGGTAAGATAAAACTGCCCGTGGGTTTCTGAAATTTTAACATTTTTTTATGGGAGCAGAAAGCTTCATCCTTCTCTCATGGAGCCACTGGTAGTTTTGAACTGCTAACCCTGTGGTTACCAGCCCAATGTTTAACCACCATGCCACAGAGCTCCTCCCCCTTGCAAGTGACAGTATTTATTTTAAGTCATGTGGATGAACAGACCTCTTGAAGTAATGAGCTCCAAGTTTAATGGATAGTCCAGCCCCCTCCCCCATCCCTGCCCCCTACCTGCCCCCATTCTACATGGAACCTTCTGTTGCGCTCTTCGCAGGAGTGTTTGCAGTGGTTGTTGGCAACCATCTAGTTTTGGTTTCAAGGTAGGTAAGGACAGGGCTTGTATAGATTGTCTTCTAGGCTAGTTTCTTCTTTGAGTCTTTGCTTCTCTTCTTTGCCTCTTTCTCGAGATATTAGAGACACAACCTTGTATCTTAGATGGCTGCTTTCAAGCGTTCAAGACCCCAGAAACTTACTCACCCAACTGGCAGATAGCAAATTACCTTTATGAACCATGTTGCACCGACTGATCAAGGTGATCCACATGTTCTACACCCTCAGGTGCAATAAACAAATTCCCTGAGATATTTGATTAGGTCTACGGCATATTAGTGACTGTGCTCCCACTGGGGCATGTTCTATGTACAAGGTTTCCCTGCTATCAAACAGCAGAGCATACCTATAAAAGCTTTCAGAAGCCAAAATGGCCTAAAATACTATTAATTTATATAGGAAAAAATTAAGAGCATTTTCATACCATGAAAATAACCTACGGTTGCCAAATAACACTACTAAAACTAAACTAAACTAAAACACTACTACGTAGTGTTTACGGGCACCGTTCAGAGCTGTGGAGCTTGAAGGCAGAGGCTGAGTGTAGTCCTGAGGGAGAAGCTTGGTGAGAACACTCTTGCAGCTTCGGGTGTGTGCTGTCTCTTCAATAGCTTCCAGCAAAACAAATGCTGAATGCTAGTTTCACTTTTTGCCTTTTGTCACACAACATTTCTCTAGTTCTTTATGCTCCCCGCCCCCTCCCACACCCCACTATCATGACCCCAGTTCTATCTTTCAAATCTGGCTAGACCAGAGCATGTACACTGGTACAGATAACGGCTCTCGACACATAGAATGCAGGACAGATAAACCCCTTAGGATCAATAATGAGAGTAGCGATACCATAAGGCTAGGGGGAATTTGGGGGCGAGATAGAGGGGAAAAGGGGGAATTGATCACAATGATCGACATACAACCTCCTCCAGGGGGGATGAACAACAGAAATGTGGGTGAAGAGAGACAGTGGCTGGTGTAAAATATGAAAATAAAAATATAAATTATCAAGGGTTCAGAAGGGTGGGTGGGGTGGGAAAAGAAGCTGATACCAAGGACTCAAGTAGAAAGAAAATGTTTTGGAACTAATGATGGCAATATATGTACAAATGTCTTGATACAATTGATGTGCGGATTGTTATAAGAGCTGTAAGAACCCCTAATAAAATGATTTATTAAAATTAACTGAAAAAATGAACACACAAAAGGGAAAAAATCCTCCTTAGATTCTTTTAGTTAATGAAAACAGGTACCAATATAGGTCTTTTACTAACACAAAAGTGAAATGGTATAATGAGAACTTTTGAAAAGAGGTGTTTGCCTGGATATATCCTAAAGCTCACCACCACTGAGATGGTATCAACTCATAGAGACCCTATAGGACAAGGCAGAACTGCTCCTGTGAGTTTCCAAGACTGTGACTCTGTACCAGAGGAGAAAGCCTCATCCCTCTTCTGTGGAGAGACTGGCGGTTCCGATCTTGCAGACTGCAGCCGAGTTTGTAAGCACTGGGCCACCGGAGCACCGCTAGAGCACACATAAACATACAGAAGCATATACCTTCAGCTATACCTAGACATGCACATTTGTATATGGATATGGATGGACACAGTGGCTGCAATAATGGTCTCCAACATAAGAACAATCGTGAGGATGGTGCAGGACCGGGGTGTGTTTCTTTCTGTTGGTCACAGGGTCACTATGAATCGAAACTGATTCCATGGCACCTAACAACACGAATCCAAAGATAATGGATGACTCTGCGTATCAGATACTTGCCATCGTAGAAACGATGAACTATGCAGTTTTCCTCTGATTCTTAAATGCTTCCTCCGCCCCACTACCATGATCCCAATTCTACCTTACATATCCGGCTGGCCTGGAGGAGGTGTACTGGCACAGATAGGAACTGGAAATACAGTGAACCCAGGACAGATGAATCCCCCAGGATCAGTGGAGAGAGTGGCGATGGTGGGAGGGTGGAGGGAAGGAGAGGGAGGAAGGGGGAACAGAGGACAAGGTCTACATGTGGCCTCCCCCCTGGGGGACGGACAGTGGAGAAGTGGGTGAGGGAGACATGGGATGGGGTAAGATATGACAAAATAAAAATAATTTATAAATTATCGGGGGTTCGGGGGGAGCGGGGAGGGAGAGGGAAAAATGAGCTGAAACCAGGGGCTCAAGTGGAAAGTGGGTGTCGTAAGAATGATGAAGTCAACATATGTACTAAAGTGCTGGACACGATGACGTATGTATAGATTGTGATGAGTTGTATGAGCCCCTAATAAAATGATTATTTTTAAAAAAAAAGATACTTGCCATCATGAAGAGTTCACTGAAGATACTGGTGAACAGCAAAGTAGGGTGAAGATAACAGCAAAGTAGGGTGAAGAAATTAGATGGTGCCCAGCTGTCAGAGAAATAGCATCGGGGATCTTACAGTTTGTCTTAAACAAGCAGCCATCCATCTAAGTGAGGTGTTAGCTAAGTCCTCATGGAAGAAGCACATCAGCCTGTGTTACACAGGACTGTAAATAAAATCAAAGACCAGAGCAGAGAACTGAATTAGCCCTTCAATTTTGAGCACCTCGTTTCACAAAAGGAGAAAGTGAAAACCTAAAATCCATCTGCAGGGTCTGCACAGTCTCTGGCGAATCTCCTCTGCTCACTGACCACGGATGTGAGTAGCCTTGCCACCAGACAGCGTGCACTGGAAAGTGGATGGATGAAGCTAGAGTTAGGTTAAAATTTAATACCGTATCATTTGTTCTCCCTTTTGACCCATTTTAAATTTGTTTAGTTTTACTGTTTTCTGCTTTCTTTGGGATTCAGTTTTTTCTCTGTTTTATTTAGTTATTGTTGTTGAGTTTTGTTCTTCCTTTTGCATGCTTCTCTTTATATGAAATCCAGGACAGTAACTATAGGGGCAGTAACTGGATTCATAGTTTCTTAGGATTATTTCAGGGGAGGTTGGGGGGAAATGGGGAGCTAATAATAATAAGTACACGAGAGAAGAAAATGTTCCAAAATTGGTTGTGGTGATAATTCCACAACTATTTTAACTACGTTTAACTACTGAATTTTATGAAATGTGAATTGTATGTCAATAAAACTATTAAAGTTAATTTTTAAAGTTTAAAATTTAAAAGATAATGGATTTTTTTCATGAACTTTTAGGAGTTCCTTTGTATATGTGTATGCAAATATACATATCTACTTAACCACATACACACATATAACTGAAAATTGTTCTACTTATCTCCTTTTACATAAAAGGTACCCAGACAAATGAATATGATTACTGAAAAATAAAAAGGATGCTAGTAGTTATTAATTAATAATCCACCCAACAATGGTTACAACACTACATTGACAGGGAACCACCAGGAGTTCAGGCCAAATTCAGAAGAGGACGTGGAACAAGAGATACTGCTGATGTCAGATGGATCTTGTCCCAAAGCAGAGACTACTAGAAAGTTGTTTGCTTGTGTTTCATGGAGGATGGAAAGACATTCAACCGTGTGGACCATAATACACTGTGGATAACCTTGATAAGAATGGGAATTTCAAAACACTTCATTGTGCTCATGAAGAAGTTGTACATGGACCAGAAAAAGGGCATACTGCATGGTTTCAGATCAGGAACGGTGGGCGTTAGGGTCCTATCCTCTCACCGTACTTCTTCAATCTGTATGCTGAGAAATCATGAGAGAACCTGGATTCTATGAGGAAGAGTGTGATATCAGGATTGCAGGAATGTGTATCAACAACCTGTGGTACCCAGTTTACAAGGCTTGCTTGTTGAAATTGAGGTAGACTTGAAGCACTTGCTGATGAAGATAAAAATTGTAGCCTTCAGTATGGATTACAACTCAATGTAAGGAAAACCAAAATCCTCACAATTGGACCAATAGGTAAGATCATGATAAGTGGAGGAAAGGTTGAAGTTGTCAAAGATTTTATCTTGGCGCCACAATCAATACTCATGGCCTGTGGTTTTCCTGCATTCAGGAAACTGCATGTGTTTTGAGAGTCTGAAGAGGACTTTATAGATTGGTATTAGACATATGGGCTGATATCAGACTTATGGACTTGATCTGGACTGGGCTGAAAGGTTTTCTCAATGTTCAATTGTTCTTGTATATAAATCTCTTTCTT